ATAGGAACGTATTCGCTCACAGTTCTGGAGGCCAGAAATCCAAAATCAAAGCATCAACAGGACTGGGGCCTCCTGTGGCTCCTGGAGAGTCCTTGTACTGCCTCCTCCCGGGTCGGCCCACCTTGGCTTGGGACTGCTCTCTCCAGTCTCCACCTCTCTCTTGACTCCTCTTCTGTGTGTCTTCTCCCCTTCTGCCTCTCAACTGGACACTAATGATTGGATTTAGGACTCACCCAGATAACCCAGGATGATCTCATCTCGAGACTTTCACTTTGTCATATGACAAAAAAGAAAAAAAAGACTTCTTCCAAGCTAGGTGACATTCACACGTTCTGGACAAAATAAATTGGAATTCCTCCCCCTCCCCCCGACACACACAGCTTCTGGGAATGTAGAAGGGTGCAGTTCTCTGGGAAACAGTCTGGTAGGTCCTCAGGATCCTGAACGTGGAGTCACCACATGATACACGGTATATTTGACATGCAGGTCTTTGGGGTCATTAATCAGACTACCCCATGCTTTGCCTCCTGCTCTCCAGAACATGGAAAATCTACCCCCTTGGAAGCTCCCCGTGGGGGAACAGTAGGTCTCAATGCCCTCTCTAAGACTTCCAATGGACTCAAAACCTGGTCCCACCCCTCCCTGTCCAGTGGCTTCCTCAGCGGGTGAGGTTGCAGAGCTTGTGTTGGCGCCATCTGGTGGAACCAGAGCATCATTGCAGGTACGCGCCCTATAGAAGTAAGCCAGGCCCCCTGCGCACTTGGTAAAATTTCAAATTGTCATATTGAAACAGGCAAAAGGAAACAAGTGAAAATCTTCCAGAGAACGTATCCTATTTAACCCAATTCAAGACATTATCAATGCAACATGTAGTCAACAACAGCAAAAAAGCAACATATTATTTTACATGATTTTCTTCATACTAAATCTTTGAAACCCAGTGTGTGTTTTATGCTCATGGAACCTCTGAATTCAGAACAGCCACCTATCAAGTACTCAGTGGCCACACGTGCTGGTGGCTGTGGTACTGGACAGCACATCTCTAGAAATCCAAGTGGAAGGCACGAGGGGGTGGGGCAGGGCAGGGCTCTGAGGTGAGGGAATCTGAGATGGAGGCAGAAGAGGGGAGCTTAAGGCAGGGTGGCCCCATATTGAGGTCAGGGCCTGGCTGTCGGGACCTGGTCTCCATGTGATCTCAGTGCCAGGTCCTATGGCCTGCAGGTGGGGGAAGTGCATACTCAGACCAGAGTTCCCTGCTGGCCGGTCTGAGCAAGCCCCAGTCTTGGCCAGCCTGGTCCCACCGGCCTGGTAGGTGCATCCTCGTCCTCCTGAAGGCTGCCTGCGCTGGGCTGCCTGCCCAGTCCAGCGTGGCACACACTGGGTAAGAGCTAGCGTCTGAGAGCACTGTCTTTTTCTACTAGCCGCCTTCTCTTTTCCCAGCATTTGAACAACACTGACAGTACTTTAAGCACTCACCAAATATTTGTAGAATGAATGAAAAGAGAGTCCCGGGCCCTGTGCCCAGCCTCCTACTCCACCTTACCAGCTGCTGTCATGTGTTGAGTCCTGTCTACACCCGGGCACTATGTCAACCACTTCCATTGAGTTATCCTTAAAACTCACCCAGCCCTGATTGGTGCTGACTCAGTCACTGCTGGATGCAGCTCAGTAAAAATGGTGCTGAGGACACTGCTGGTGGGGCCAGCCACCTTCACACTCCGTCTCCCCCCAGAGTTCACCGCCATGGCCCAGGCCATGGACCTGACCTCCTCATCTCTGCAGGGTGACTCCCACTGCCTGGATGTAGCTGCCAAGACACCCCAGACTCCCCCAGTGTCTGTGGGGCATCTCTCCCCTTCCCTGGGTGCTGGGGTCTGACTTCTAATGCTCTCCTCAGTCCCCATACAGCAGAGCTGCAGACCTGACTCAGGCTGACAAATGAGGACCAGGCTGGGGAGAAAGTCTGCCTTTACCATTTTGCTATTGTCCCCAAAAGCTCCTGTGGGAGACAATTCGAGAGGGTTCAGAGGGAAATGATTAGGTTGCGAGAGCCGTAAACTAATCACTGAATTAGTCCCTGATGGGATTAACCGAGTGGGGGCTGGGGTGTGGCTGGAGGAGGTGCATGGCCATGGGGTATGCACTTTGTACCTGGGGAATGGACTCTCTCTTTCCCTGCTTTCTGATCAAGAATCGAGCTGCTTCCCTCTGCCACACTCTTCCACCATGATGTTCAGTCCCACCTTGAGCCCTGAGGAATGGAGTCTGCTGTCTATGGATTGAGACCTCTGAAACCATGAACCCCCAAATAAACTTCTCCTCCTCTACAGTTGTTCTGGTTGGGTCCTTCAATCATAGCAGTGAAAAAGCTGACTAAAACGTCCACAGTTGGGTAAATTATAAAGAGGTTTGGCTGGGCCCAGTGGTGCATGGCTATAATCCCAGCAACTTGGGAGGCTGAAGCAAGAGGATTGAAAGTATGAAGCCAGTCTCGGCAATTTAGCAAGACTCTGTCTCAGAACAAAAAATAAAAATGGACTGGGTATGTCACTCAATGACAGAACACTGCTGGGTGCTCCTAATACCAAAAAAAAGAAAGGAAGGAAGGAAGGGAATTTATTTTGGCTCAAGTTCTGATCCAAGGTGGAGGGGCCACATCTGGTGATGGCCTTGTGGCTGAAAGAGTTCTGAGGTGGTGCAAAAATCACATAAATGTGTCCTGTGTCCTCGTCTTCCTCCCTCTTCTTATAAAGCTATTTACTGTTCAATCCCTGATGGCTTCCATCCTAATCACCTCCCCAAAGCCTCACCTCCAAACTTGGACTAAGTTTTCACCCTCTTAATATCTCACAATGGAGATAAACTCCAACATGAGCTTCAGAAGGGACACCAATACACAAACCAGCACTCTACCTAAATCCCCACCCCAGTCCTGGTCAAGAATCACATGCCCACGGGCTTCTGGGCTGCTGTCTATAGATGCTGTACATCTCCAGCAGGTGGAGGTGTAACAACACATTTGCAACTCATCTGGGATCACGTCTGTAAATCCTGCATGCTCATCTGCCCCCACCCACATCCTATTTTTTTTTTTTTTTTAGAGAGAGAGAGAGAGAGAGAGGATTTTTTTAATATTTATTTTTTAGTATTCGGCGGACACAACATCTTTGTATGTGGTGCTGAGGATCGAACCCGGGCCGCACACATGCCAGGCGAGCGCGCTACTGCTTGAGCCACATCTCCAGCCCCACATCCTATTTTTAAACATCTGAAACAGAAATGCAGCAGGAATTACACTGTAACTTTTGGGGGAGTGGTTACCAGGGATTGAACCCAGGGTGCTTAACCACTAAGCCACACCCCTAGTCCTTTGTTTTTAATATTTATTTTTTAGTTGTAGTTGGACATAATATCTTTATTTTATTTTTATGTGGTGCTGAGGATCGAACCCAGGGCCTCACAATGCTAGGCGAGCACTCTACTGCTGAGTCACAATCCCAGCCCCTCCCTGGTCCTTTTTTATGTTTTATTTTGAGATGGGGGCCTCGCTAAATTGCTGAGGCTGGCTTTGCACTGGAGATCCTCCTGCCTCAGCCTCCCGAGTCCCTGGATTACAGTGCCTGGTACTACACCATAATTCAAAATGTTCTAACAACCATACTTGAAAATGTAAAAGGAAATAGGTGGGGCTGAGGGCATGGCTCAGCGGTAGAGCATTCACCTAACATGCCAGAGACCCTGGATTCAATCTCCAGCATCACAATAAGAAAGAAAAGAAAAGAAAGAGAAAGAAAAAAAGAAATGAAAGAAACAGGTGAATACACCCAACATCACCAAATCATATGGAGCAAAACCACAATAACACTTTATATCCATTAGGATGGCTATTACTACAAAAAAAGAAAGAAAAGAAAGATACACAGAGAAAATAATAAATTTTGGCAAGGATGTGGGGACACTGGAACCCCTGAGCCCTGCTGGTGGGAATTTAAAAAGGTGCTGGGTTTTTTGTTGTTGTTGTTGTTTTTTTTTTTTTTAAAGAGACAGTTAGAGAGGAGAGAGAGAGAAAGAATTTTTAATATTTATTTTTTTTAGTTCTCGGTGGACACAACATCTTTGTTGGTATGTGGTGCTGAGGATCGAACCCGGGTCACACGCATGCCAGGCGAACGCAGTACCGCTTGAGCCACATCCCCAGCCCAAAAGGTGCTGGTTTTGTGGAAAGCACTATATTACTTCCCTCAGCAACTAAACACAGAATTTTCTAAGGGTCCAGCAATACCACTATGGGTGTGCACCCCAAAGAATTGAAACCAGGGACTTGAACAGACATCTGTACACCATATTCATATTATGCAGTATTATTTGCAATAGTCATAACAAATTGGAGGTAACCAATTTGTGTTGTGTCCAAACACAGATAAAATGGATAAACAAAAGATATATACCTACCTTCATATATATGTATATACCTATATATGTAATATATATACAATATATATTACAATATAAAATATATTACATATATACCTATATATACACACACACACACTTATATACCATATATATGTATTATATATAGGTATATATATACCTATATACCATATATACCTATATATGTAATATATAGGTATATGAGTAATATATTATTATATATTATGTAATATATATTATGTATATGTAATAATATTCGGCCTTAAAAGGGTAGGGAATTTTGACAAATGCTACAACATGACATCATGCTCAGTTAAATAAGGCAGACACAAAAAGACAAATATTGTGTGATTCACTTGGATGAAGTACCTAGATTAGCAAGTTCATAGAGAAGGGACAGGATCATGTAGAGTTACTATTTAATGTTAGAGTTTCAGTTTTGCAAGATGAAGAGAGTTCTTGTGATAGTTACACAACCACAAGAATGTAACTAATGCCATCTAACCACATACTTTAAAATGGTTAACCCAATCAATTTTATGTTACTATTTTACCACAATAAAAAGTGAACAGGCAAGATTAATTTTAATAATATTTTATCCTAATATATTCAAAATATTATCATTTCAACATATAATCAATATTTTAAATTATTGAGATGTTTTACCTTCTTTTTATTACATGACCTTTTACATTTTGTGCATATTTTACACAAGGCACATCCCAATGTGAATCTACCATGTGTCAAATGCTCAACAGCCATGTTTGGCTGATGGCTACCACACTGGATGGTATTGACATTCACCTTAGTCTGCAAACATCTCCACCATATCTGTAAAGACTCACATCTCCACGGCCACACTTGAGGCTCTTCTGCAGCGTCTCTGTACACTTTCCACATCACCTGCATTCAAACCCGCCTACAGTCATAGGCCAATGCCTAGATCTCATCCCCAGACATCATCAGAGAAAGAACCAGCTCTGGAGTGCCCACTGGCTTCAAACTGGATTTGACCTGCAAATCTCCCCTCTCCTTTGCATAAATATATATCTCATTTGTGCATCAAACTAAAGCATCTCAGATAGTCATCTCAAAGTCAGGGAGGCGTGGGATTGGGAAGGAGGTCCCGGGGCATCCTTCCTCCTGCTTCCCCTGGGGCTCTTCCTCCTCCTCTGCTTCCTCATCGATGCTCTCCTCCTCCTCCTCTTCCAGGATGGCCACCAGATCCTCCTGCAGTGCCCCCATCTCTAGCCCCAGGCTGCACAGCTGGCCCAGCAGCTGGATATCCACACGGCGCAGCTTTCCCTGCGGGCAGGAAGGGGTATCAGGGGCATGCCACACCAGAGGGCAAGGGGTCCCACCAGGACTAGGGTGGAAGCAGGTCTCAGGTCCAGTCCTGGCCCACAGCACCTGGGCAGGTCCTCATTGTGCTCCTGGGTGCCATCCTGCCTGTCCTCCTGTCTCCTGATCTCAGTCTCTCTTTCCATTTCTGTCTCTCTTGTCTGCTTCCACTTTTCTGCCCATCTCTGTGTCTCTCCATGTCCAGGTCTCTCCCTGTCTGTATCTATTTCTGTTGCCCATGTCTGTACTCCTGCTGTGGCTCTTCGCATCTCTCTCCCCACCCCTCATATTCAGATCCAGTCTGCCTCTCTGTTCCAGGATCTCTGATTTGCACCTGCCTCTCTGTCTCTATCTCCATTCCCCTTGCAATGTCTCTGCTTCTCCCTCCACCTCTGCCTCCAGTTCTCATTCCTGTCTCCCAGCTCCTGTCTCCCAGCCTCTGGCCCTTTCTACTTCACCACCATCACTCACTCACTTATTCATTCTCTCTCTCCATCTCTTGTCCCTCAAATCCATCCTCACTCACCAGTTCCTCCCAGATCCACAGCAGACTCTCCTTGGCACCTCCAGGTTCCTCCCCTGGGGACAGAAGGGTCTGTCCAGGGCTCCCCTCTGGGGGGGGTCCCCTCAGGGCCTGGGGTGGTGGGCCCAGCCCAGGGGGCTCCAGTCCCGCCTGCTTCAGCTGCATCCACAGCTCCATAGTCTAATCAGTGGCTGCTAGGAGGAGGAAGTAGCAAGGTTCAGGGTGACTCAGTGTCCTGGGGAGTCATGGGGTTGGGGGAGGAAAGGGCAGTGTGGGGGGTGCTGGCAGACACATCCCAAAGTCCATTCTTCAGTGAGAATCAGCTGGCTGTGGAGTTTTTTTTTCCTCCCTCCTGAATTCCTACCTCAGCTCTCACATGGTCCAGCCACAACCTCTCTGGGAAATCAAACTCTACCTTCCTGCCTCTTCTCAGACCAGACCACCCACAGGTGCTGGGTGTTTGTGGATACTGTCTGCCCTGCCTCTCCTGCATCCTCCCACCTCTCCAGTCCCTCTTTCTCAGTCTTTTCCTAAATTACATCACCTGACCTCTTGTGTGCCCACAGATTGGTGGTCCTTACCTGTCCCCCGGCTCTCGCCATCCCAGGGCTTGCCTAAGGGTCCCTTAGTGTCCAGACTGCTATCCATAACAGAGTGGCCAATGTTGCTGGCCCTGGACTTGCCTGCATCAGGGTGGCCCTGCTGTGGAAAAGACTAGGGAGTTCTACAGGCGTCCCTCTGCCTCTCTTTCAAACCCAAAGTTTTATAAAATTCCACTGAGAAGTCAATGGTTCCCAAGTCCTTGACTCAGTCCCATCCTCCTTCCTGAGCTCAGACCCCACTCAGCAGCTCCATATGGATGTCAGACATCTCAAGGTCAACATGGCCAGAACAGAACTCTCAAATGTGAACTACCAGACAAGATTAATTTCCTGTTGACACTGTGGAAAATTATCACAATCTTGGTGGCTCAAAACAACAGTTATGGGCTGGGGTTGTGGCTCAGCAGTAGAGCGCCTGCCTAGCATGTGTGAGGCCCTATGTTCGATCCTCAGCACCATGTACAAATAAATAAAAAATAAGGGTGTTGTGTCCACCTACAACTAAAACATATATATTAAAAAAACCCAGTTATTTATTCTCTTACTATTCTGGAGATCAGAAGTCTAAAGTGACTGGTGAATAGGGCTGGTTCTCTCTAGAAGGTCCAGGGGAGAATCTACTCCCAAGTCTTTTCCAGCTTCCAGAAGCCACGGCCTTCCTTGGCTCACAGCCCCTTCTTCCTTCACTCTAACCTTTGCCTCCACCATCCTGTCTCCTACTGACTCTGATCTTCCAACCTGCCCAGTGGAATCTTGTGGGTATATTGGTCCTACTGATTATTCGTAAAATCCCCCCCTCTCAAGATTCTACTTCACTTAGGGCTGGGGTTGTGGCTCAGTGGTAGAGCACTTGCCTAGCACTGGGTTCAATCCTAACACCACAATAAATAAATAAATAAATAAATAAAATAAAAGTATTGTGTTCTTCTACAACTAAAACAAAAATTAAAAAAAAAAAAGATTCTACTTTACATCTGCAAAGTCCCATATAAAGAGCTACTGTCACAGGTTCAAGGATCACAAAACATAAATATCTTGGAGGTAGAAGCATTATTCAGCTTATCATCTCCACCTTCCCCAATCTGCTGCTTCTCTAGTTTCCTCATCTCCATAAGGGACACCCCAATCTTCTTATTTTCTCACGCTGTTGGCATGACCATCAAATAGATTCAAAATCTGAGCCTTTCTCACTATCATCACTGCCTAGACTATTGCAATAGCCTCTTTACTTGTTCCTCAACCTATTATATCCGATTTCCACCTGGCAGAAATGATCTTTACAAAACTTGGATAAGATTTTGACACTCTCCTCACTGGGAACAGAATAAAATCCTACTGGGCCTGCAGTCAGCCTTCTGTCCACCTCTCTGACCCAGTCTCTACCTCTCTCTGCAAGCTGATTCCCACATAAGGGCCTTTACACTAGCTATTATTTCTACCTGAAACACTTTTCCCCTAGACCTTGGAATGAATGGCTGTTTTCTTCCTTATCATTACTTCCTTTTTTTTTTTTTCTTTTTGGTACTAGATATTTTACCACTGAGCTACACCCCCAGTCCCTGCCCTTTTTTTTAGCCCTAGATTTTTTGCAATTTTTAATTTTTTTATTTCATTTTGTTTAGTTTTAGATGGACACAATACCTTCATTTATTCTTTTTTAATGTGGTGCTAAGGATTGAACCCAGTGCCTCATATATGCAAGTGCTCTACCATTGAGCCACAATCCCAGCCCATCCTCAGTTCTTTTTTTTTTTTTTTTTTTTTTTTTTTTTGAGAAAGGATTTTGCTAAACCGCTGAGGCTGACCTCCAATCTACAATTCTCCTACCTCAATCACCTGAGTTGGTGGGATTAAGGCATGCTCACCACTCCTGGCTCACTTCCATCATTAATGTCACCTCTTCAGAAAGGCATTTTTGCTGATGGCTCCATGTCCCAGTCACTGCCTATTATATTTATGAAAACACTGTTTTTATCTACTTCTTATCAAACACTATCTGACTTGATCTTGCTTATTCATTTGCTTCTTATCTATCCTCTCCCCAGCTGGAATTCTGACTCCCTGAGAAGCTGGATTGGTCCTGATCACCAAGGTAACTTCAGCACTCAGAACAGTACTTAACACCCCACAGTAGTGCTCAGGAAGTATCTGTGGAATGAGAGAATGAAAACTTCTATGCACAAGACTTCCCACTGAATCTTTAAGCGATCTAGGCTTGACCTCCAAAATAGGTTGAACACTTCACAATATCAGTATTGAGATCTGATCTCAGTTTCTTACCCTTATGTCTGACCTCATCACCCACTCCACCTTCCCCTGGCTTGACTCCGGTTTAAATAAAAAAGGAAAAAAAAAAGACACAATCTGTTTTTTAGCCAAATTATTCTGAAGAGAAGGAAATCAGGGAACTGCAGCTGCAGTCTAAGGAAGTGAATTTACAGCTTTTCTAGGGACAGGAAGGACTGTCCAGCTTTCCTAGGGAAGGACATGTAGAGTTCCATTTTTCAGGTCCGTGGAGAAAGTACTCCAAGAAAGCAATCCTTAAAAACGAGTAAGCTAAAAATCAGAATGCGCCTTTAAGAGGGTGTGGCCACAAGAGAACTCATTTGCGACTGAAAGGGGGGGCGGGAAAAGAAAAGACCGGCCCCTTCCGACTACGTAAGCCCGGCAAGATGGCAGCGCCCAGGTCGGTAAGTGACCGGGGCCTCCTAGAGCTCCCGAAATTGAAGTCCGCTCTACAGCCTCCACCCTCGGGCCCTTTGTCACCCTTGGGAGCCCGGTATAAGGGAACAGAGGCATCTCCCGCTAGGCACTAGGTCTCACACCGGGAGTGTACCTCAGGGGGTAGGGGGCAGGGGGCAGAGGGCAGGAAGGATCCGGGGAGCCTCAATCGGCGGCGGCGGAGTTTTAGGGAGCAAATGGGAGGGCACTTGGCGAGGGCAACCAATGGGAATGTGTGCCTAGCCAATCAGACTGAGGGGTACGACTGATCGCACAAGGAGCCAATGAGCATGCGGGGGTGGGTTCTGGGGGGGGGAAGAGCTCTGGGAAGGTTTTGCCTGAGAGTTAGGGATTGGGTTCGAGGGTGGAGCCCGGAGAATAAGTCTGAGGGAAATTCATGGAGATTTAGTAATTTTGGTGGAAAAACCAATGGTACCATGAGGACAGAGTTAGGAATGAAGATGTGAATTTGGGAGTTCCAGTGAAAAGAATCTGAGGGAAATTACGGGATTTGCGGTAGTCGTTAAGAGAATTTAAAGAATTGGGTAAAAATCAAGGAATGAATTCAGGGAAAATTGTCAGTTTCAGAGTTTTTAGAGGAGCCGGGC